AGAAGGTTTCCATAGATGTTAATGAACTACAGACTAAAAAGAAGTAGAGACCCCAGCAGCCCAAGGAAACAGTGTCACTCATTACACCTTAACTAGAGTAGAGGAATACTGGAAACAAGGAACAGGTCTTGGAACGTAAACCTTAATACATTGATGATGAGTTTCAGTCAAAATCAAATCTGTTTCATTGTTTTTTAATTACCCCAGAGTTCCTGGGGATCTAATGAAACCGTGGACATCCCTCACATGGATGGAAGTTTTTTAGTTTTCTTTCAATTTCTGCTTGCAGTTGAAATTGGTAACATAATGTTCTTGTATTTTGAACAGAGATGTTCTTGTATTTTTGCCCAAGTTCCTGGGTATCTAACAAAACCATAGACACCTCTGGAATAACTGGAGGTTTGCTTAGTTATCTTTCAATTTCTGTGTGCGTTTGAAAATAGTAATAACAATGTTGTGTAACAAAAACTATTGACCTCTTAATTGGCTGAAGTTATTGGCTGTTGGAAGTTTGACTGAAGCTCCAAATTATCTTCAAATTTCTGTTTATTGGAAATTAGTAATATAGATGTTTTTGTATTTTTGTCAAGTTCCTGGGTATCTAAAGAAACTGTTGACACCTCACATGGCCAGAGATTTTCCTTCAATTTTGTGGGTAGTGGAAATTATTCACATACATGTATTAGGTCAAAAATATATAAAATTAAAAATGTGTTGAAATTTCATGAACATTTTTTAAACAATTTTTCAAAAATAATCACAATATACATTTTTAAATGATTCTAACATGCATTTCTGGTTTGAAGTTAATAAGGCAATAATTATCAAACAAATGTTTCAAGAATGATAATTTTTTATCAGTTTCCCTCTCCCTCCCCTGTTCACTTCCGTCACAGTTATTAGATCCTCTTCCCACCACAAGAAGGGAATGTATATTTTTTGTAAGTCCCTAACAGTAGACCCTATACATAACAAATATAGGTACGTTGAATAAGGAGTACTACTTTTGTATTCACTTCTTCTTTTGGCGGTATTGAAAAGATCTTGAAAATACATTATCTTGAATTTTTGGGCGGGATAAAAAAAATCCTTTTGCGTCCAATTTTTAAAAGTATTTGCATCATCTACATTGCTTCTGTTTGTATGTTCATGCGTACGTTCATCCAGTTGGTCAGTATTGTGGATCTGCAATCATGACCCCCTACCAGCCACCTCCACCAGGTATGCCTTGTGCTCTGGTGTTCCTTTAGTTTTCTAGTTGTGTTGAACATTATGGATGATTTAACTTTTGCTGTAGAAAAAGGCAGTGTAGAATCAGAGGGTAGAGAAAAGGTGTTAAAAATAATTTTTACAAGTAGAGCAATTTGTGGTTTCATATCTAGTGTAACGTTTTTGCCTTCTGCATTAGTTTTAATTTTTGACAATGGCTCTGTTGACGTACATTTTCATGCAAATGTTCATCCAGGTGGTCCATACTGTGGATCTGCAATCATGACCCCCTACCAGCCACCTCCACCAGGTATGCCTTGTGCTCTGGTGTTCCTTTTGTTATAATACCCGCACGTTTTCTTGAGCCCTGGAATATCTACCCCCACTACCTTACTAACATTAGTTGGATTCAGAATAAATAATAGAAACATGCATTGTTGACAAAATCTGGTATCAGAAATATTTGCTCCCAGAAATAGAAACTTATTTTGTATTGTAAAATGAGCAACAGATTTGATACAATATTTCTGTCGACAAAATAATCAAACCTCCCACTCTTCTTGCATCTAGTGAATCGAGGGCTCAAGAAAACGTGTGCTGGTAATACATCATGCATTATGTATGACTGAATGTTGTGGTTTGACATTTATCATGAATGAATAAACAAGCCATATAAGTGTTTTGTGAAGTTCAGTAATTTGGAACAATGGTGCAGTTAAATACAGTGGAACCTTAAAACTACAACTTCAACTACTACTGGAATTCCTTAACATCATCATAAACAACCTTTAGGCTGTAAAATTTCTTCAAAGATCTGAAGATCTTATTTGCTAGTAATTAAATTAGCAACATTTATTTTGTAGTACCTACCAAATACTGTGTGATTACAGCACAAACCCAGGCCATGACAGGTATTACTTTGAGCATAAAAGTCCTTGGCTTTCTTTGTGATATCTTTTAGGCTCTAGGTTCTTTTAGATGCTTTTAATAAAAGACATGGGATGGACTTTTTTTCTCTTCCAATGGAAGGTGTATGAATGGGAGGCACATTCTGTGATATTTGCATTTTTTTATTCCCCTTCATCTTCCTCATAGTCAAGGGTACACCTCCCCCAATGTCTCAAATCATTTGAGAACTCATTTTTTTTGTTTTCTCACTCTAGATTAAAGTTACCGAGGTTCCAATGTATTAATGAGTTGTAGCACTATTCATATGTAGATTTTGTTTTTGATGTATTTTGTATATTGTGTCATTAAAATTTAATTTCACGCATGAAATGCACTAGATGAGAAAACTGCACATTTAGAATGAATAGTAATTGAGGAAAGGCAACTTCTCTTGTTGCCAAAGTTGCCATGGGGACTATTGTAAAAGGAGAGAGTAAGGGTGGAGTAAAACCTAATTAATGTTCTGTAGCAAAATTAATTGGAAATAAATCTTTGCATCATGTGATTCAAGTTCTTAGCCATGTTACTAGAAATGGTTCATTGCTCATTGCTACTTGTTACCCTTGTTGTCCCTAATAATAAAAGAATTTTGGACTAGTTTTATCAACCATAAAATCAATTTAGTAAACATTTAACTCTCTTTCTTATTGTTGAGAATTTTATTATGATATCACAAAATGCAAATATCTATGTATTAATGATAAGTCTGTGCATTGTTGCATTGTAATATCACATTACCCATTTGTTTTTGTAACTACCACATTTCATACAAAGTAGGCCTATTGCATGAACCTGCAATCCAGTATATTTCAAAACAATCTCATTTCTTGAATGCCTACTTCTTTTTATCTCTTTGTTCAGAGTAGTTACGTAAGTGTGTATCCCTGCATTGTTTGTTTTATCTTGTTATCAGCTCTGTAGATAAAAGATCACTTTCTTTTCTTTAAGGGCCCTAGTATGCTCCTTTGTATAATGTAGATATGATTGATTAAGGAAAAAATTTTTCAGTGTACTGTTTCTTGTCTTCTACAACTGTTCTCTTTTGTGCTGTAAGGGTGTGGATGTAAAAGGGGGACGAAGAAGAGTGGGAAGTTAGACTGCCTGGTGATGCAGTAACTGGGGAGCAATTGAAAGAGCTGATGAGCTTGATTGTATAAGTGCTTCTTCCTAACGTGGGCAAGTCTGTGTTCATTTCAGCCTTCTTTGCATAGGGCTTATGAGTTATGAGTGCCAGTTCAGATTATAAGGACATATAAGGTGACTAAGGGTGTTCACAAATGAACCCAGAGACCAGAAAACAAACAATTGGTAGAGATAAAGCTCATCACTATTTACAAGAAACTGACAAAGGTCATGTGATAAGCAAAATTGTAAGATTGAGCCTTCTCTCAATTCTAAATGCATAACTATTGAGATTGCAGACAATTCTTACTGTCTCTTCAGGGAAGATCAGTGATGTAAAGAATTCTGTGTGAACTTGCATTTTTTTGCTGCTTCAAATGATTGTTTCTTTGTTTTGAAGAAGTGTGATGGGCATTTACATAAAAATTTATATAATAATATTGATTATATTTCTGGAATTTCAATGAATTAGTGAAATTTAATTTCACATTGTTATTGTAGCATCTACTACACACTCAATTGGAGTTGCGTTGTTGCCCCACTATGTTTACTAGTAATGAAGATCTCTCTAAATACAAAGTGTCTTGGAGGGCTTGTGGTTTAAAACGACGTTGTAGGTATGCCCATAATAGATTGAAGAATGCTGTAAAAGGTAGAAAGCAAGCACTTGAAAGATTTTTACAGAATCTTAGCAATGCAATGCTTGGTGTCCCTGACGAACTGTTTGTTGGAGCCACAACTGAAGTGCCTTATATGAAATTGATCACTGATGAAGAGAGAAGGTTAGGAATTTTTTAAAATTCATTTTGATGTAGATTAGTCGTGGAAATGTGGATTATTGATTTTATGATGTGCATTGGTGGTCTGTGTTAGCAGTGTTTTTCTTTTTAAATTATACTCTTTGGTTCTGCATTGATTTATTTGTAGTGCAATGCTTTTGTCAATAGTGCTTCAGACCTTAGTGTAGTAGTTATGTGTAAATTTTACAAATTACTTGTGGTGATATTGTCTATTTGTTTCGATATTGATGAAAGTAGACATAAATTAAATATATTAGAATTTTGCATTATAAATTCATAATGTAAAACTTAATTAAATAATTTTTTTTATTGATTATCCAGACATGCCATTCATTAATATTCCATTAATTTTTTTAATGCCATCCATTAATACATGCCAAGATTTGTGATGTAATGAAATATATTTCAATAAATTATATAATGAAATATTATTGATTGAGAAAAGCTGATTCAGTTTGACAGAATTGAATTCTGTAGAGTGATGATTGTTTTCATTTGGGTGTTTCTCTAAGATAATAGTTTTTAATCAAAGAGGAAAATTTAAAAAAAAATTTGAATTCAAAATCAGTATTGGTCTGAATATACACTTATTACAAACAAACAAACAAACAATTTTGAGTGCTAGAGTTTTATATGTGATTGAAATAAGTGTTGGATATGTAAGTTTCTAATTCATTATCATAGCAACACAGTCATAGTATAAAAGGGTTATTTACTTATAATTCTGATTACCCTTACACGTTATGTTATTTGTATAGTTATTTTAATCAGTAGTACTTTTAGACCACTATGTCAATATTTCTGGATCTTATTCCTCTGTGTATTCTTTAAAACATTGAATCTGCTTTCATTATGTCTTCGTGAGTAGGGAACCGTTAATACCCCAGTGTAGCATGGATTTACCGATTTCTGATTTTGTAGGTGGCTGGATGAGCATGCCCCAAGGGAACCCTGGTATCCCACCTGGTTTGGAGTATCTTACACAAATTGATCAGCTCCTGGTCCATCAGAAAGTTGAAATTCTTGAAGGTATGTCTTAATATTTAGGAAGATGGATAATTGTGTAATTTTGCAGCTTTAGATGTGTACATGTGTACCCATGACTGAGTTGAATTACTTTACCTGCTGAATAAAAGTGTATGAATAACAGATTAGTAGGTGTAGCTGCCTTGGAGCTAGAATGGCTTTGTGAATACCTGAGTTAAGAATTCAGAGAGACTAGTGAAAAGTTGAAAGAAGAGAGTTGTTGACAATAGTATCATGTCAGGGTCATGAATTGTGGGTATATATGTGTCAATTTATTTTATATGGTATATGTGCACTCATCTTCTGGTAATTAATATAATCATTTACTATCTAAACATTTTTAATGTTTATTTTATAGATTCAATTTAAAGGGTGGCTGTCATATAAAATATTTAACTTATAATTTTTCCAGTTCTTGTAAGTCTTCCATTCAACAAGTCAATATCAGTCGCTATCAATAACAAGTTACTTTCAAGTTTTAGCTCAAGAATTTATATATGTGTACTAGCTGCATGGTCAAGGCAGCCATGGAGTGATTTGTTGTATAAAAGTCATTATATGTGATTGTTACCACTGTCATCATCATGCTGTATTGCATGGTGAAAGACTTGAGGTCTTTTCATAGAAAAGTGGTTGAGTAGATTATCCCTGCATTATCAGTGTGTGTTAATAAACGTTAAATGACATTACTGATAATTGCGGTGAAATAACTTTTTTTCTTGTGTTGTTTATTGCATTCTTCATTAAAATAACAATATTATATTTTAAACGTAATAAATCTGAATTGTAATTCTAGATTTTTCCGTTTCTCTTTTATCACTTATTTAAAGTGCAACAGAATTGCTTATGAATATATGATTCTATGTAAAATAGAAAAATTTGTTAAATTAAAATGAATTGTTTATATTACTAAGCAACTTTGTTGCACTTTAAATAAGTGATAAAAGAGAAATGGAAAAATCTAGAATTACAATTCAGATTTATTACGTTTAAAATATAATATTGTTATTTTAATGAAGAATGCAATAAACAACACCAAAAAAAAAGTTATTTCACCGCAATTATCAGTAATGTCATTTAACGTTTATTAACACACACTGATAATGCAGGGATAATCTACTCAACCGCTTTTCTATGAAAAGAAAAAATATTTCTATGAAATATATATAACTTATTTTGACTAATCATCTGATTATATTGGAGGAAAATTTATGGATATTGTACAATGCCTTCTCTCTTACAGCTCTAACTGGCTTTGAGTCTAAGAATAAATTTACCATTAAGAACAGTATGGGGCAGAAAGTATACTATGCTGTTGAAGATTCTGACTGCTTGACTCGTAATTGCTGTGGGCCATGGAGGCCCATGGATATCAAAATTCTGGATAACTTTAAAAATGAAGTGATACACATGAACCGTCCATTGGCTTGTGATTCTTGTTGGTTTCCATGTTGTCTTCAGGTATTATTATTTTTATGGGTTTTTCTGAAATGTACTTGGAATTTAACTACCTTTTCATTTTAGTTTCATTAGAAATAATAGGGTGAATCTATTTTCTTTCCCTCTCCATTTTGCTTTTTGTAGTTTCTTCTTTTGTTAACAAACAAGTTTTATTAGAGGAGCTAAACTTCATTTCTTAATATTTTTTATGGAAATAGAAATTTAGTTCTGTTATCTTAGAATTTTGAAAACACGAGTAAATGAAAGATTTCTGTTGTCCACAAATTTACCGGAAAGAAACTCATTTTCAATAAATGGATTGTTTGGAAACTAGTTTTATTAGGACTCTCAGAATGAAATCTTACAGAAATAAATGTCAAGAAATTTCAGATTTTTTCAAATTATATTCTAAAACATTTTTCTTCTAATGAAAGGAGTATCTAATTTTTAATGTGGTGTTGTCAATGTGTACTGCGTGTGTAGTCAATGGAAGTCTCCTCACCTCCGGGCACAGTGGTGGGCAGAGTAGAACAAGAATGGAGCATTTTGACTCCCCAGTTCAGAGTGAAAAATGCAGCTGGAGACACAGTGTTGCGGATAGAGGGTCCATTTTGTACTTTCTCCATTTGTGGTGATGTGGAATTCAAGGTAAGTTCATCAGTAACTCAATATTGGATACATTAATATCTATGGATGGCTGTTGTGATGGTGAAATGCTTCTAAGAATTTAATATGTATTTATCTATATTATCTGTCTATTGCTTTCTATTTCTTAGAAAATGACAAATTGCTCATATGAGAGAAAAGTGGTTTGTTTTCTCTCATAACATAATGATTTTCAGTGTTACTAAAAGTAGTATTAACAACTGATTTGATTTAATTGATTGGTATTATTGCATATGTGTTCAAGTTAATTTTTGTTTTGAAAGTTTTATTTCCATATGTGGTTTTGCAACTTAATTTATGGCAGTCTTGCAATTTAATTTATGCCATAAATTAAATTGCAAGACTATAAGCAAGCACAAACTACGAGGAGGCAGTCATTATCATTATTATTAGTACTAATATTGTATAAAATATTCTTAATAAGATAATAACTTCTGTTGCTTTGTTCATCTTTGTATTCAAAATATTGTCTGATGCATTTAAATTTTTGTAAATTTCTAATGTACATATCTTAATTAAATCCAAAACTTGATGTATTTAACAAACATTCTTCTCCTGTCATTTTCACCTTGAAAATTATTTTTGCATTTAGAAGTTTGTATGAACAATTGAGTTCTGAATAGCTAATGAGGAAAGAGTTGCATCATTTTTAAATTGTGACCTCAGCTTTTTGTTGATGGCTTACAGTCTAATAATGAATATTCATGTAGTGAATAAATTGAAATGTTTTTTTTTTTATTTTACACAAGGGATTCCAGAACTTTCCTTTGGTCACTAACCCTTTTTGCAAAGTGTATTAAATCTATTAACCCATACCAGTAATTAACTTTACCTACTCAAAATAAATACATATGTTATGTGAGATGAAATATTTAACTAAATGTTAAAAAATTGATTTTTGATTTTATTCACTTCTTAATAAATAATTGAAAACTCTAAAAATGGTAACGCAAATGACTTTCATTTGCAACATTTATATCGTAAACTGCACTAATAATATTAAAACCATTCGTGTTCCACTTTTTGTTCCCCTCCCTCACAGAAAGTACCTTTCTGTTTATTTAATGTCAACATTTTGTGTAATAATAATGTATTTAATGTCAAAAAACTGTGTGTAATGTATGGGGGACTTATTGTCAATGGGGGACAATGTACAGGGTGACTTATTGGAAACTATTTCCCCCAGTTGCTTCCTTTGGAAGTGACTGGTTTACACAATAAGTAGAATTATTAATTCCTGTTTTGAAAATTCATTTTAAGCTTGTCGTTCATTGCTAACTTTTACCCTACAGATCTTGACAGCAGATGGGGCCACTCAAGTTGGCAAAATTTCAAAACAGTGGGCCGGTTTGCTCCGAGAAGCTTTTACAGATGCTGATCATTTTGGCATCACCTTTCCCATGGACTTAGACGTGAAGATGAAAGCAGTAATGATGGGAGCATGTTTCCTAATTGTAAGTAATGTTTGCATTAACAAATCATAATATATAGTTCAGTAAGCAGAAGGCCATATATTTTCATACTTTCATTTACGTTTTTTTCATGTATATTTGATTTCAACAAATTATTTGGGTTTAATTTGTATATTTAATGTTGTGCAGAAAGCGATGAGAACTTCACTTAGTTATTTCAATAAAATTCTGTACGGAAGTTATACATTGGTTATGTAAATTTCAAAATAGCAACATGCAGACTGTTTTTTACTGACAAATTACAGACTTTTTTAAAAAAATTATTTTTAGAAATTTGATTTGAATGATGAAATATATTTTCGATCAATTTAAGTAATGTTTCTAAAATATATATATAAATTTTTTAATATCAAATGGAATTTGCTTGGGGGAATAAAAATAAAAATACATGTTTAAAAATGAAACAATGGTACCTGGACAAGAGAACAAACATAATGTTTATCATTCCTGACTGAATTTGAACATTACATTATTGAAAGTTCTATGAATTGATGCAGGAACACAGCTTTCTGCATAAACCGAGCAATTTTGGAACAATTTAGCATAAGAGGGAGTCAAATTTCTGTAATCAGAATTGAGCATTTTTCTTATATCTGTGGCTTTATGAAAATATCTGTACTTAACATGATTTTGAGAAAATAATGTAAGTTTATCACAATACAATCCTGCATTTAGTGACAATAATAAATATTTTCACACATTCCCAAGTTGTAGTGTACCAGCTCTGCCTAATTATGATAGATAATAAAGCGTAGTCTAGTTAAATCTTTTCCTTGAATTTGCCTGGATTTTTCTAAAATTACTGGTTACATGTTTTTTTTTATTTGGATAAATTATTTTCTTAATGTATTTCGTGTTTCTACAATACACCCTGCATTTATCTGTATTTGAAAACCATCCAATATTGGTAGTGTGGGGTAAGTAACTAAAAGCTTATTGGGAAAACTTTCAAAATAATTCAAATTGTTAAATTTGGACACTTGAACTATAACAATCATTTAGTTAATAAAATTATTAAATTATAAATACAATATTTCTAAAAATGTATTAATCCATGTTCAAATAGGGAATATTAATATCTAAAATTATTAATAAATAATTTTGTTAAACCTATTCCCTTAATTTGTCGTATGCAAAATTCTCGGTTTGAATGTAGGCCTACTAATTTAAATGTTCGAAAATGAACCATCTGTTAGTTTTCCGTGATTTGATTTATTTTTGTCAAAAAACAAAAGAAACAGCATGTGACATACAGGGGAAGGTGTAATTTGTGCATGTTTTCTTGAGCTCCAGAATCTCTTCCCCACCTTTTTACTACACATAGTTCAATGATGAATAAAATGCCAACAAAGCAAGGTTAGCAACATTTGAAAATAAGACATTTTCATGAGTTACAGAAAACGTAAAAGAATTGCAGATTTGATTTTATAGTACTTCTAAGAAAATTGAAACCCACCTCCATCTCTACTCCTACCACTAGTAGCAGAAAGAGAGTTCAACAAAATATGTGCATAGTGCAACTACATTTATGTTCAGAAGCAAAACAAGGGGCCATCTCATCATTTACTCAATGAATCAGGGAAACACACCAAAAAACGGATCAAAATTCAATCTTGTTTCAATGTTAAAATAATTTTTTTATAGTTAGTATATTGTATATAAACAGTTCCTTGAAATAACAGTGAAAATACGTTCTATATTTGGAAATAGAGATCAAACATTTTTCATATCAAGTCAGTAAACGTAATTCATAAATATATGACAGTAGTATGGTGGCAACTTATGAACAAATAAATATGAAATTACTTAAAATCCTTGCCTTACCTATTGTTAATTTGGCATTTACTTTTGTATTCTTTACTTCTCTTTATTTTTTGGCAATTTTCTCCTTATTCCTTTTTTTATTTTCAATGTTTACTACTCATTTCTCATCATCCTAGGACTGTGTTTCTAATCGTAAACTAATATTAAATGTAAAATAAAACAGTTCGGTGTGTATTCCTGTTACTCAATTTTACTTTTCAAATTTTAGAATTTTAAAAAATTTCTCTTGTAACATGCTGGGTGATAAGTATATTATGATAGCCACCAAACTTTTTACGAATTGAAATGGTAATTGATACATACTTTTTGTAAGAAAATTTCTTGTAATTTCTCCTCATGATATTGAAACATTCATTATGATGTAAAAATGTTCATCAATTTACATCAAGCTGTTCATTATTTTTAGTTGCAATGAGCCACAAAGGTACATTGCAAGACACATTTGGCACACATCACCACTTTGACATCTGTTGTCAGTTTTAGGAATTATATCATTATTAGAATTAATTCAGTGACTAAAATAATCAGGGATTTTCTGAAGTAATTTTAATCTTTCCTTAGTTATTAATTTCATAATTGTTGAGATTGGAGGTTACTTTGTAAGATACAATGAAGAAACAAATAGGAATCCTAATACAATATAAGAATCAGAGAGATTCCAAATAAATTAACCCCATTGTCCAAGAGCTTTGGATCCTGTTTTTAAAATGACAATTGATATTTGAATCTAAGGTAATTTTTTATCTATTTCTAAAATTCAGTCAACAGAGAGATACCATTTTTAGTTACATGAATGAACAAGTAATGTGTTACATGAATTAACAAGCAAAACAAAACAAAATAAAAATTTTGGTAGGAGAATAGAAATTTTTGGATCAACCTAAATTGCCATGCACCCAAGATACATTGTTTGTAGCAGAACACATCATTGGGTGTATTTGTCCTCAGGAAATGTTGTTTTATGAGAAGCCAGCAAGAAGTGATACCTCACACACCTCCCGACCTCCTATCTGTGGGCTTGTGATCATGGTGCTGGTGGCTGTCTACATTAACTACATAATTTTTTTTACCTACAGCCCTGGACATTGTGGTTTGGAAATTAATGACATTGTTGAGGTAATATATTTGTGTTCAGGATGTGATGTTCTTTGAGAAGAAAGGCAACGAGGAGAGGGACCGGCCTGGGATGTTTTAATTTCCTCCAAACAACAGGCCACCAAGTGTCTTACTTAAGAGGTGAGTGTAATTTCCTTTTAAGTAACCTTTTCTGCTGCTATGTCAAGTGGCTTTCGATTCTGGAAAGCTAGTGTTATGGCTTTGAGTCTTGCTCAATATACAGCAGGAGCCCAGAAATGCTATCTTCTTGTGATAATAGTGTGAATCGTCTATTTCACTGTGAAAATATATTTTGTTGTCAGTGTGTGGTTTAAAACTGCTGTGTATGAAATTTTTATCAGGGCTGTGAGGAAGGTTCTATTTGCAGTATTGATTGAAAGGCTTGGCTTTAATATCTTATTTCCTCTCATACTTTCATTTCTTATTTCTTCTCACATTTAAAATCTTTTGTGAACGTCCATAAATGCCATTCACAGCTGAAGCCAGACTTTAAGCCTGCCCCACATAAATAAGGATAAACATTTTTATTTATTACATCTCCCTCTTTTCTGCCAATGTATTGCGGTTGAGGAAAAGTACGGGTCATACTACCCCATGATACACCAATGCTAATTGGAGAGATGGGCAGGAAAGGAAAGGAATAGGAATAGGAATAGGAATGACCCATAGCCAGTTAAATAGGGTATTGCTTCAGCATGCCTTGCAGTAATCAGGAAAATAATGGAAACAACCACTGATTACAGCAGTTGGCCTATACCTTAACACTTGATCTTTACATTTGCCATTACTGGTGTTGATATGCCCATTTTGAGAGCCATAAATTGAAAATAGTTTAAAATTTAACTCAATAGAGTGAAGTTTTTTTGAAAATAATATTTATAGCAGTATTTATTAAAATAATAAAGTCAAAGTGAGGAAAATGTGAGTGAAGGCATGATGTTCTAAACTTATTTAGCCATTGGAAATTTTCAGTTTAAACCCATTTCCAGAACTCAAAAGTATGTTTAGAAGTGAACTCTGGCACCTGTCAATTAATGCATTATAAAAAACAAGAATAACAACTGAGTTTAGAGCTGTGTGGAAACCATGTTACTCATGTAAACGTCACAAAAATGTGATGAACTATTAATTTTGTTATTCTAAAGAAGCAATCATTAATGGTAGGTGAGGATTAAAAAGAAATCTATTGAGAAAGTTGTGCCATCTTGCTATGCTTTCCTCGTGGGACATTTCTATTGCATTGCGATTGAGGTAGCAATAGCAATGAGTGCAAACTGTTCAGTCTGTTTTCATGCTTGAAGAAGAAAACTGAAGAGAAACAACTGCTCCGTAGAGTTTCCATTTGGCTATATAAATCAGTTAATCACGTCAATACATTTATGAGGAAAATTCTATTATCCAGAGTATGCAGTTACAGAGAGACCTGGTAAATAGCACTCAGCAGTATCTTTTCATGAATACTGACATACTTTTGAGTTCTGCAATTTGAGCAATTGCCCTTTATTTCCAACATACAGATGTGTAATTTTAAATTAGGTTCCTAGCAATCCCCTCTGCATAAAATATTCCTGAAGATAATTGTTTTGTGTCATTTACACAACTCCAGTCTTTGGATTCAGCAGTGACTTCATTTACCAAAAGAAACGTGTTAAAGTTATTGCTGAATGGAAAGACTCATTTTATATTCAAAATTATTTTTTTCTTTAAGTGTCCTTTAATATTCAAAAGTCTGTTTTACATTTTTTTAAATTGCATTTTTATTGAAATTTCAATTCTGAGATGGTGTCCTAACAATAAATTTACCTCTATTTTACCATATGAAAGTTGATTCTGTTTATCTTCATTTTGGAAATTAACTTGCAATGTATCAAATATTCTGTTTATTGTAATAATTTGAGGGATACATCAGAATATTTTTATTGCCAGTCTTATTAATTTCCCGAAAGATATCTTCAATGAAATATTTTGTTTTTCAGAATGTGGATTATGCCTGATACTGAAGCTTTTTAATGTCTGTCAGATGTACATCTTCAGTGACTTCTATTTTTTACCTAGAGAACTGACTGGTGGATGTCTCAAACTAGAGGTTTGTACAATTAATTTTTATCATTGCATTAGCAGGCTCTTGACATCCAAATTTTTTTATTCCTTGAAGAGATGTATTTAAATGGAATTATTGACCTCTGTAAACATAAAACATGTACATGTTTCATGTAAACATAAAACATTACATGAAAAACACGTAATGCAATCAGTACAGATGAGACCCAACCATGCAGCTCTTTAGTATTTTCAATGTAAGTAGATTCCCTTATCTCTTAGCACTTTATATTCTCCTAGCACTTAATAATAATGCAGATTAATGTAATTATACATTGTCTCGCCTCAATTTGCTATAAATAACTATTGTAACATTCTGTGTTGGACACATCAACCATAGTTATATCGTGTGAATATAAAGTTGAGAGTTAATATTGGTATTCGTGGGCACAGTCTGCTTCAGACAGTGTGCAAAGACGCACAAGATGGGGAGAGAGAAAATAGAACCACATTACGGAATGAAGTAATGGAGGCAGTGCTCTTTAATTGGCATTTTGCCAGATCTGCTCTTGAGAAGAAACAGTCTTCTTAAATGTTTCATTATTGCTCCTATTGCCATCTTTGATTCCTCCTTAGTTTCTCCAAAGGAATTCAATGCTCTTGCAAAATAAAGAAAGAATTATCAGATTCTTGAAGATAAAGACTATTACTGCCAGCTTGCAAGTGTTTGTGTCCATGAAGCCCATATATCTGTTATAAACATTATATATTACTATCTTACATTACTAATAATATTGTATAGGATATTCTTTATGATACCTAACAAATTGGTATTAACTCGTCCAAATACAATTTCCCAATGTGTAAATTGTCAAAACAGTTCTGTTATGTTCTGCTATTGAATTGATTTTCTACTTGTACCTAATGTGGCTGTTAACAGTAGCCTTATGTGAATGTTTAAAAAATAGTATTTACGATGACTCTTAGAGATGATTATATTTTGTATGAATTTGGATAATACGAAGCAGGTTCTAATGGCTGCAAGTTGAGTCAATTGAAAATTGAATATTGGCGTACTGTAAGAAAAGTAGTTTATTCAAATATTGCTGAAGAAGTGAGAAAAATGCTATTTATTTTATAAATGCCTCCACTGTTGAGAATACTACATGGGTGTTGTGAAGAGGTCAACTATTTTTATGTTAAAATGTACTATATGACTTGTCCACGGTGTTAGATAATTGTAAATATGTTTATGTTGTACATTAACATGTTAAAGACTGTATGTTGTGTGAGTTCAAGCAGCTACTGCCCCCAGCTTTCCCAAATGGTTACCAAATATATTCAGTGATTGAGGAAGTCTGATATTTGAAGCACTTAATGCTAACTGTCTTTTATATTTGTTAGTCATTGCCATCAAACTTTTCATTCCTGCTGTGAGGTAAGCCAGCTTTTAATGTGCAGGAAATAATGTGTAATTCAGTGTCTCGACATTAAAAAGATTGCTGAATGATATTTTTCAGATATGAATATTGTTTATTGTATGTGTTAAACAGAGCAATAAACAAAGTGTTTACCACCATTTATTTACGTCATTTTCAGCCAAAAAGATATAACTTAATACTTAACTCAGTGTCTTAATTATTCCTAATTTATTTTATTCTCAGACCACACCATTGTTCTTCCAACAGATCCATATGAGATGTAATACATTTTTTAAATTGTAACTAATTTTCACTAAAGTAAAGGCCATTCTAAATGTTACTATGTGGATTGAGGAGTGAAAAACTTCATCTGGAGCCATGTGGTATATATCCTCACACAAGTTCATTCACAGTGATATCCTCAATAAAATGTTAGTAACTATACTACTAACTAGCTACTTGTTTGCAACTGTATGTATTGGCTTTGGTATCTACATGTGTGTGTTTGAAGATCAAAGTTCAGGTTAGCATTGTCCTCGTGGACGTGTGCAAGAGTTGTGTGGGAATATTTTTGTTGGTGATTGATTTATTTCCAATAGTTATTAAGTAATGAGCAATTTTGTTGAAGGAGAATGACATGTTCAAGATTTATCTATCACAAGACTGTAACATGTCACAACCTCTGCTGACATGTCGCAGCCTTGCCGGCTATGCAACCAAAAGTGAACTAGGACTTATCCCAAACATTTTGATGATGATCTAGGGGAGGGGATGAATTCTATTGTCTACCCTCGTGCACACACACACTAACATAAAGTTGATTCCGGGAATGCAGGAAAATAAATTGGACAGATATTGGTTGATAATATGGACACATTTAATACTGTGTAAAATAATTTTAATAGCACAAATAAAACCAAAAGTCGCAATGTACAATTAAACTACACTATTGCTTCTAATGATTTACAATATAATCTATTCTATTAAACATATTAATATCTTTTAAACACACTATTGCTTTTACATCAATTTTAAAGTCTGCAAAACAATTAGAACTTGGGCCATTACAGCTTTCATGCTTTCCTGTTTTTGTTTCTCACCACACCCACCGTAATTTATGAAATCCTTTTGCACACACTACAGGTATATCACATAAGGTACAAAGCATTCAGTGCTAATATCTTGAATTTCTAATGCAATGGAATGCAAACTTGCAATTACATTAGAAGTCGAAACTGGTTTTAAGTTTTTGATTTGAATAGTCTGAATAGCCTTTTAACGAGAATATCTGAATTCTAATAATTCTCTACTCATTCGTTCTGCTATCAAGAGCCTCTCAGTACTTCCATTACTTTTTTGCCTTTTTGCAACCCCTACACCTTTCAGTAAAAAGTATTTCAGATTTTATTGAGATTAAATCAGTTTTGTGCTATTGGCTTTCAGAACAAGTGGTTTGCTGGTTGTGTCTCAGACCGCTGTCAAGCAATCTGACAATTATGTATACATTTGTTGCGTGGACGTGTTTACACTAGAGGAAACCCAACTTTAAAAGTCAAGCATTGTTTGAGTTTACTGTTGATTACCTAGGGAGGTCCTGTCTCCTTTACAGCTCCTCCTGCGAAGGCTGTTCCGCTCCCAGCCACCGGCATCAGGCTTTGGTCTTATTCCTATTCACAAAAGCATTTGAACCTATCCCCATTAGTCACACGTAGGGTGGTAAGTATTTATTCCCCCTTGCTCTTGGCTTTTGTTGATCTCTACATAGCATACATACATTTTGTTGAAATCAAAATCTCAAAATTTTTGAAGTCGCAAAAGTTAGTTTTTTGCCATCTTTCCTTGGCATTTCCTTGGCCTTTACATTGAGGATATTTCTTTTCTTAATGTTATCTGATCTTCAAAATTATACCTTCAAACTTGTGAGCTCAGTGAAATTACACACATCAAAGTGAAATAAATCCGTGAATTTTGAAATTTTATATGAATGTTTGTTGGTACCTACAGCGTATCATTCTAAATTTCTTGAAGTGTGAGGGTTAAGCGGAGGGTGGAGGATTCATTTAGAGGTATTTTTTATTTTTTCGTATATCTCCATTACTATCAATCCTATAGAAAATTATAATCTATACAATAATAAAGTGGATAAAATTGCCTGTAAAAAAAGTTCCTGTAAGGCTTTGTGTAGAATTAATCCATTTAAAGTTATGTGCTCGAAAATTTCTATTGTTTACTTAGAACAAGGCCTTATTTTGGTTTTTTCCTTTGTACTAATGTTGTTATATGTTCAGTGCAAGAAAGTTCCATCAAGTGGGGTGGTAATGGGTCAATGTTGTAACTTCATATACATTCCAAAATTTCTATTGCCTCAACAGTGTGTTGGAAATTTTGGAAATTACATGAGAAATGTAATCAGCTTAATGATATTATTTTGTACTGTAGCTTCCTCATTTCAGTGGTCACTTGTGGTGACTTTATTTTTTGCATATGTGTGGGGGTGTCTGCGGTGCAGCATAGGCATGTGGGTATGTGTGTGAGTTTCCAGACATTTTGCAGAGGTCATCAAAAAGTGTTTAATTGCAATTTAACTTTGTGGTTTTTGATGTAGTTCATTATTCTAATCAGTCCTATATATTTTGTTACATAAATGGTGAGGTTATTTTATTTTATATTGTTTATTATTTTGTGGAATGACATTGACAGAAAAATCAAAAAAAACAACACATTATTCAAACTTTCAGCTGCAGAGAAGTAATTTCATTTAACAACATCGCTTTTCATTTTACAAATTGCTCAATTGATATTTGTTTAGTAACTAGTTAAAGCAATGGAGAAATATATGGTGAGTGTTGTCAAAGATAAAAATTCTATGTTTGTAAAAGTAAAAGTAAAAGATTTACAGAGGCGACTGCCTACCATCACAAGTTAAAATATAAATCTTCAGAAGTGACATGAAATGATAAAGTTCAGATTGGTTGCACCTGTCCAGAATAAAACATAGTATTCATCAATAGTTACTTAGTTTTGAAAATTGATCTCAGTTTACTGAAAACATTAAAAAGATCTACTCTTAAAGATCATTAAAAGATCAAATGCAACAGTGGTGCATTTCAAATTTTGGTCAGTATGGGTGTCAAAACTAAAGTGTGATTTGTGAAGCTTAACTTCACATTTCTCTGATATACTCTCCAGATAATTACCAAATGTTATAAATGCAGTCTTTCCCATATTTAAGCTCAGAAAATTACATTTTCATAAAATTCAACAAGATTGTATTTGAACATATGTTTTTGATAAATACATTTCATCAAGAACTAGTGGTGCTTCAGATTCGCTCAGACTTTTTTACACAGGACAGCGTTTTTGATAAAAATCTTCTTTTGTAATTCTTTAAAGTTGCAAATATTGTGCACTAACTGCTAAAAGTTAAAACAAATGTATGTGACATTAATAAAAGAATTCACTATGAATAACGAAATTTATATGAAGGAAAACCTCTTTCTTCAGTTTTGTAGTTCTAGAAAAACACGGAAAAAATTCAAGCTTTTGAAATTTTCGAAAATTTAGAGATAACCATGAAAATTTGGCATAGGCAACCTCTAATGTATTAGACTCAATTCTTTCAATAACTGTAAAGAAAAAATTGGAGCTGTATTTTTTTAATGAAAATTTCCGAGGGTTTTCATGTAAAGTACCCCCAAATTTTGAAGTGTTTTTCAAAATCACGGCGCCTCGAATGGAGCCAGATCGATCGCGGAATATCCATGAACAGTATATCCATGAGATGCTATTAAATTTCCGTAGATATGGCGTGCACATTGGTTTAGCAGCGCCCTCCTTTGAGGGATAGGCAGGCCCGTGTTATGCCATTCTGTTGTAGACCGTCAAACGTCGTGGAAACGTGCAAGCAAGTTAGGGTGTGCGTCGCAATATCAGTATCGGAGTTCGAACGGGGCAGAATGATTAGTATCCGGAAAGCGGGTTTGTCGTACCTCGACATTGCAGCTTGAACGGGGCGCGCTTCTACGACAGTGATACGTGTGTGGAATCAGTGGATAGAGGAGGAGCGAACACAACGACGAACGGGTACGAATGTGACCACAGCGCGAGATGGCTGCCATCTTGTCCGCAAGGCCATAACCGACAGAACGATGCTGTCCATAGTGTTGACTCTACTGTGAAGCACTGCAACGAGTGTGGTCATGTCTGTGACGTCGGTTTGACACCGTCTGCTGAAGGCTGGACCGATGTTACGCATACCACTGCGTCAGATTCCGTTGCCCAGAAACCACCAACGCCTCAGATACCACTGGGCACGTGAACGTTTACACTGGTGTGTTGAGTAGCAAAATGTACTGTTTTCGAACGAGTCCCTTTTAATTTATGCTTCAGCGATGTCCACGAACGTGTTCGAAGCTACCGTGGTGATCACATGAACTACCAGACTACATTGTTCCGAGCCATAGCAGACAAGCGCGAAGTGTGATGGTTCGGGGCGCCATTGGCTACAATGTGCGATCTCGCCTCATACGTAATCTAAGCAACAACCACTACTGAAGGTTTTTTTAAGTAGTAGTTGTAGTAAGGTACTGCCCCTACTGCAAGCAGCTCCACATGCCATATTTTAGCAAGACAATGCCCGACTGCATGTGGTGAGGAATGAGTAAGCTTTCTGCCAAGAACGACTGATACCACTGCTTCCCGGGCTTGCACGTTGGCCTGACATGTCGCCCATCGAACATTTTGGGATATGATCGGTCAGCAACTTGTTCGTTCTGGTCCTCCTGCACTGTCGATACTTTATGGTCACGCATAGAAACCGCGTGGCAGTGTCTTCCCCAGCCGCATATTCAGTTTCTCCTTGCATCCATGCCACGGCGTCTAGAGGCTCTGATGGCAGCGCATGGCGGCTTCGCAGCTTACTAAATACTCAAGGTCAAGATGCAGGTACAGTTCTGTAATTCTAATCATTTGTGTGATTTTCCTAATTGTGATATTCCTAATCTGTGGAATACATTTCATTGTAATGGTATGTCTCCGACTTGGTGTTGCAATGTTTAAAAATGTTTCACAAACTCCAGTAAATATTGAACACACATCCGAAAATTAACATCTCGAAAAATTATATTTTGGAGAAAATGAAAAACACGTGTTTCATATTTTTGTTTTTATTAAATATAAGTTTAAAAATCTGGGACAACAGGGTTAAATTCTTTACATTTGTACGATTGTCGTGGAATGACCGACTAACTTGTTACCACTTAATAAGTTTGTCACTTGTTTGTTTATGTGGGCATTCTAAACTAGGCCATATGATTTTCCAGAGGGTGCAGTCGACATTCCTTCATGTGCTTCTTTGTTTTCTTCTCTAAAATAAATTGGGTTTAGTGTACTCATAAAATATTTTAAAAGGTGTAGTGTAACTAATTACTTCATATGAACAATAAACAGGCACTTCTTTCATACATATATTAATAGGAGCAAAGAACTTGTCTTCCAAATTCCCGATCGCTTTTGTGTGTGTGTGTGTGTGTGTTTCTTTTTTTGCTTCTGACGGTGCGCCATAACGAGGCACACTGCAGTATCTGGTGACATCGATCTGATAATGGGACGGCCATCTGTTGTTACTTAAACCAATACCAAGAATTCATTATGTACTCACATTCAACATGAAGTAGAATGCCCCGTTTGCATTGTACACGTATCTTTAATTTTACCTATCGCAAGCCTATTGATGTTATGTTATTTGTGGAACATTTACGATGAAAAGACATGTATGTATGTATGTATGTACTTGGCGCGACAGCCTGTGAACGGGCTCAGGCCTACCGGCGACGTCCCTGCCTCGCGGGCATGGGTTAACGGGGTACGTGTGATCAGCACACACACATCCTCACGCCATATCCCGGTCTTCTCAACCTGAGAAGTGAATTTTCTCATCGACACACACACACACAGCAACATATACTGGAAAATTGAAATGAAAGCGCACACTAAGGTCTTGGCTTGTCCGAAAATCGAGCCCGGGGCCGCGTAGTGGAATGCGAGCATGATGACAAAGAGGTAGCCACGAGCCCTAATACATAGCTACAAAGTGGAATTAATATTAGAATGTTTGCATAATTAAATGTTTTGTTGGAATTTTTCGTGCAGCCTGATTTAGCTCAGAGCTGCCACTGTATATGCAGCGACACTGACCGGGAGGTCCTAGGGTTCGAACCCCGACGGTGGCGGATTTTCGACATTACCTACAAAGCTAGATAGAATTCAGCCGCTGTTTGGAGGAGAATTCTAGCGGCCGTCTGCTCTGACCGATAGTTTTCTGTGGTTTCTCCAATCAATACCTGGCGAGTGCGGGAGCAGTACTCTAACATTCGGGCCACATGATCCTCCTTTTTTCCTTCTTCTATTCTCTCCCCTCGCACACATGCTTACATGGACTGCTCTACCATACATGCCAGGACCTTGGAGTTTGGCCCGGATGGGCACACCAGCAATCCGACGTGTAGGTCGGCCTCCGATCGATCCACCCAGCGGGGAAGGAACACCGCCCCCTTTCAAGAAAAGAAATATTCATTTCACTATCGGGACTAATGACGATGGCTGTTGTGTCCGCAAACTTGAACTTGCAACCGTCTCCGGTGACTGTGCGCGAAATCATGAGAGTCTTGGAGGTCTTTGGTTCAGTTACGACGGTGGCGAGATTTTCGACACTAATTAGGTCGAATTTAGTTGCTGTTTGGAGGAGAATTCCAGCGACCAGCTGCTCTGATCGATAGTTTTCCGTGGTGGTTTCCGATCAACTCCAGGCTAATGTCAGAGCAGTACGCTAACAAACTGGCCACGGACCGCGCGCTATCTTTTCTACCTCTTCCTATCCTCACCCATTGCACTGACTTACACTAACTTGCACTACACTATCACACATTTCGGGAGACCGGTCGGGAGCTTAGAGCTTGTCCCGCCTGAGGCGGTGCTCCGCTGGTGAGAGATACCTGATTATGGAAAGCCCCGCTAGCCGTAACCGTAACCGTGGCGGTGGCCGTAGCGGTGACCGTGGTGGAGGCCGTGGCGGTGGCCGAGGCCATCGCGGTGGTAGTGACGGAGGCCGTGGCGGAATCCATGGCGGAGATCGTGGCGGTGGTAGTGACGGAGGCCGTGGCGGAGGCCGTGGCGGAGGCCGTGGCGGTGGCCGTGGCGGTGGCCGAGGCCGTGGCGGTGGTAGTAGTAGTGGCGGTGGCCGTGGCGGCGGTAGTGACGGAGGCCGTGGCGGTGGCCGAGGCCGTGGCGGTGGTAGCGACGGAGGCCGTGGCGGAATCCGAGGCCGTGGCGGTGGTAGTGACGGAGGCCGTGGCGGTGGCGGTGGCGTCGCATCATTGATTGCTTCATTTTCAATCTTGGTGTTACTTGATATTCCACGGGGCTAAGCGCGTTGAGTTCTATGTAGGTGACAGGAAGCAAGCGACTACCCCAGCCTGTCGTTATCCGCCGTGCCACGCGGAAAAGCGATCAGTTTCGTTAGCCGCTTGCGCCATCTCGCTACCGAAAGCATCTCGCATGTTATTACGCGAGTAAATGAGTCTTCGGAGAGTGGAACGGTGTACCAACAGTGTAAGAACCATTGAAGGGTGTCAAGTCTGCATTACGATATCTAGACACAGAGAACATTGGAGAATCAAGTCTGGAGAGAGCACAAACTCTCGAGAAGGATCTAGAGAACTAATTAAGTTCGAAGCTAACAATTGAAAATGATTTTAATGACAATATTAAGATATTGAAATTTTCAGTTCGTGCTGTATTTAACTGTATATCTGTATTAATAAAATCAATCGTTATGGAATAATTCTATTTAATTTTGACATCAGATACAGTGAACCGATGTCGGATATAGTGAGACAAAAATATTAGTCCCCAGAAGTTCACTATAACCGGAGTCGACTGCATTTTCATATTTTCAACACCGAGTGGCCTCAATGTCCTCCTCGAATTCAACAACGGTCCAGAGGTGTCTTCACGAAACGAGACTCTCCGGTAGCTCTCAGTAGGGTCTTTGACAGTGCTGTCTGAACTCAACTGCCAGCTAAATCTTCCCTTGATCCTCGTGTAATTGAGAGACCCATACTGTAGTGGTTGTCAGTTCGTCTTTCTCGTCTGGGAACTGGGGATGGAAACCTGGTCGATCCAAGTGTAATTTGTGGGGGACAAAGCAGGTCTGAGGCACGTTTTCTAGGGGCTTCTGCCGTTCTTCATTGTTGCATCGTAATCAACAGCCCGATAAACTCATTCGTCAAATCCAGATGCGGCTCCAAGGCTAGGATCTAGGGCCCTTTATAAAGAACTTTTGAGGATCAAATATGAAGGAGGGCCTCTCAGGATTGGCGACGCACGCATAATCTGTTGCTTTTTGGACAATTTTACTCAAATTAATGACTATATTTTTAATCTTCTTTTGTATTTTACCCTTTGCATTTTGTTTACAAAACTTCATGTTGTGTCATATTCAAATAATATATTAATAAACTAGAGGTTCTACAACAGCACTCACTGTCTTTACATTTTTTTAAAATTCTTACATAATATAATATTACAATTTTTGCCCTACTAACACTTCAGCTATCACTTAAAAGTGTTAACCAATTCAAAGAAAGCGCCTGTGATGCTTAACTGCATTTATTTCGAAATTCAGGAACACCAATCATTTCTTTCTTTTACAAATGAAACAATTTGATTAAAATGAATAAATTTAACTGTTACAGTATTTGCTACACATAACCAGAAGAGCAAGGATAATTTCGCACAAGTCTTGATTAAATCGAAATGAGCTTTTAATTTTTTTTAAACCGTATTCAGCGATCAAACCTTCTTAAAGTAATATAAGTGTATTTGTTAGTTCTAAGTTAAATCTGTTATCTTTCTTAAAATCTCTTATATTGCCTTTCGTAAGAATATTATCTACGTATATCTATCATGCATCCCTACATGTCCATGATCCAATCGTTCTATCCAAGTTGACTGTCAGTAAAACCACCGTATTGCCGGGATGCCAGCTGGTGAACTGACTGCCTGTCAAACGAGGTGTGGGAAATTCGAATTTGCAATTCCAATTTTTGAAACTATAGATAGTTTGCCGAAAATAGAACCAGCACCGCTACCTTTACCGTTTTTTGCTACATATGAGGAAAACATTTTGAAGTCGTTTTGAGAAAATAATTGTTTAAATTATTTCAATAATGCCTGCTTTACGCAGAATTAAAGAATAACTACTCATTTTTTCGAAAACTTACACATGACCTTATTTGAAAGTCTGTTTTTTGTAAAGAAATTGAAATTAAGTAAAAAGAATCTCTTTCCATTATTGTTGTAGGAAGACACTGAAACATTTTGAACTCGAGCAATTTTCGCAATTCCAGGAGATAAACGAAAATACAACCTATGCCACTTCTTTTAGTGACGTTTGCTCTATCATAGGAAAAATATAAAAACAAACTTTGGAGCAATTTTTGATAATGTTTAGCCTTTACGTAAAGTACTCCTAAAAAATCAAAGTATTCGTTTCAAATTCAAGGGGCCACGACTTGAATTAATGGGACTGGAAAATATCAATTTTAGTGGAAATCCATGCATACGGTTTAGACGCTAGCGTTGTTTCTTAAACAGACGGGCAGACGTTTTGCCGTAATCCATTTTTTCGGTATCAAGCACACAGCAAACGTGAATTACTACTTATAGGAATACAATTTATCCACTTATACATTACTCAGGACGAGCAATAAGAGACTTTCTGACGAAAAATCACTGTTTTTTCTCCGCACATTACAATATTTTCTCTCTATTGCGTAAGCATTTTGTGAAGTAAATTAGTGTCTTACAGTGTATTCTCTCCCTTACCGGCGTACATTTCAGTCTCTAACATTATCACGGTGGTGTACCTATTGCATTGAATTATCACCTTCATAGCTGTAATTGGTTGAACCCGTAGAGTAATAAACTCCAGATTTATCCAATCATCCAAGCAATTAAAATGAACTTTTTATTTATTTATTTATTTATTTATTTATTTATTTATTTATTTATTTATTAATAAAGCGTAGTATTAGAACAAAGTAAAAATTATAATGAATTTTTGTGGGTAATCTATACCGCAAAAGTAAATTTTTCGAGCTTCTGTACGTAGCAAATTACTTTCTCGGATGTAGTCACAAATAAGATACCATATTCCAAATGTTCGACACCAACAAGAAATCACCAAGAGGAAACCCGATCAACCGAACTCCGGGCCGTCAGTTGAAGATCCACATTGCTCGCACCAACGAAGCCGGAAACGAGATCCTTTGATAATGCATAATTTGCTGCGAGATTAGACCTGCCCGTACTGTTTCGATTTCCCGGACAAGATACGGACGTGGGCGAGGATCCACCCGTTAGCCTGATTATAATCATTGCTCGAGTACCAGCGGCGCGGTCGCTTTCTACTTTCGGGATTCAGCAACGAAGACCAGCTTTGGGTGGGAGTGGGGCGTGGAAGGTAAGCCCAGCGTTTGGCGTATTACTTTGTAATCCGAAATAACGAGGCAAAACTCTGTGAAGTTTAAGTATTTGACTTGCCTGCATGATTCTTGTTTAATTTCCTTAAAAAGAGCACAGATATTGCTTCAAGATATGTACACTCTTGCAGATTACTGAAGGAATTGTCCAAATCATTTATATCAGCCACTCCCATCTTCCTCTTTATATTATCATTTATTTATTTAATTAATAATTCTTTACAAATGCCTGTGTAATGGGTGTACAGGTGAAATCTAGACACTTTCAGCGGGTTGGAGGTAGATGGAAATTGGTATCTGACAGAAATAGCTCCATAAAAAGCAAATATAGTATATCACACACATCATATCAATATAATAGGCAAAATGATGCTCAAAAATACCAATTACGGAAACTTAATGGTTAATGAGGGGAGAGGGGATCCGTTTTGGAAGATAAATTTTTTCTTTCTCGCCTACCAACCACTTAAGAGGAGAGTGTGTTGTAATTGTGCGCCGAAAAACGTCGAAGTTTGGACAGCCATCTTATAACCGTATCCTGGTAACAAAAAGTGAATAATTCTTCCTGTATGTAGTAAACTACTTCCTCTAACATGTTGGGTAGTCATTATTCATGTTTTGTGGATTCTTGATAATGAAAAATCGAATGACGGATAAACGTTTGTCTGTGATCGTTACCGCCTAAACCGTTCAAAGTATTTTCTTCGAAATTGATATTTCCCGATCGGTCTAAACGAATTCGTGGACATGCGGTTTTGAACCGACATTTTGATGTTTTGGGAGTACGTTACAAAAAGCCTCAACGTTTTCAAAATTGTCTCAAAAATGGCTCCAATTTTTTTTATTAAAAGGATCGTTTAAGGAACTCAAGAAATGGAATGGGTCTCATTTTAGCGATAATCGTCATTTTTTTGAAAATTACAAAAATACTAAGATTTTCTTCGGCGTCTTCTGTAACAAAAATAAATATTGAAATTTTTTCCGTAACATCTGTTCTTCAAGGACATGTCATGAAATAAGGTAACCTAGTACAATTTTTTGAAAATATGAGTAATTTGAGAATAATTTTGTCTGAAATATAGACACTTAAAAAAATATTTTCTCAAAAACAGCTGCCATTTTTGCTTTGAACTTTCTCCTCGTATGTATCAAAGGACTGTATAAAAAATGGAGCCGGTATAGTAGAAAGTATTGTAGGGCTGCAGGGAAAAACGACGATTTTTTGACGGAAGTCTTATTGGCGATCCCTGGAAACGAAAAAGTGGTTACATCTTGTTCCTGTGCCCATTAAATTACTTCCTCTAACACGTTGTGTAGTCATAATCCATGTTTTTTTGGTCCTTGTTAATGGAGAATTGGATTACGGCAAATCATTTGTCCGTTCGCCCTACCCGCATATGAACGCTGGAGGCTAGACCGTAATCAGAATTTTACCAAGATCGATATTGACCGAATGATCTAAATGATGTAGTGGCCCCTTGAGTTTGAAACGGAAATTTTGGTTTGTGGCGATACTTTACATAAAGCTACAACATTTTCGAAATTTTCCCAAAAACGGCTCCATTTTTTTCTTTAAATATTTTCCTCGGATAGAATAAATGACGCCTAAAGAAATGACATAATACAGTATGTTTGACAAAAACAGAACCTCAAATAAGCTTGTGTTTCATTTTTGAAAACATGAGTAGTTTTGTGTTATTTTGCGGGTTCAGTATTGAAATAATTATTTTCTGAAAAAAATTCTCCAATTTCCTCCAACGTTATTTGAAATTTGGGCGAACTTTTCATTAAGACCCTGGGACATTTTCAAAAATTTCTCAAAAACGGCTCCAAATTTTTCTTTAATTTTTTTTTATAAAAAAAGAGGAAAATATGCTTTTAAAGGTTGCATAGGTCCGATTTTCACGGTTAACTCTAAATTTTCGAAAATTGCAAAAGTTTGATTTTTCCGCTTCTTTCTACAACTACAAAATTGAAGATAGAGGTTTTTCTTTCATATAAAATTTGTTGTCCATTATTAGTTCTTTCACTAAGGTCACGTACATTTGCAATATTTACAATTCGCAATATTATCGTACATTTGCAATATTTACATTTATAAAAAATTATAAAAACAAGATTTTTTCAAAACGGCTCGAAATTTGTTCTTTAAACGTTTGGTAGGGAAGTAGTAAATGCACTTTATAAGATGAGTTAAAAGCTTTTTTGCTCTATTCTTTTGTTCTTTCAAATAATACAAAATTGTATTGTTTTGACGTCTCTCACGTTAATATTTACATTTGCAGCAACTTTTTTACATTAATTTATTTAATTCTGCATTTTGAGAAACGCTCAAACAATTTTCTCAAAAATGGCCCCCTAATTTCTTCCTTGAACTTTTCCAGCAGACTGTGCTAATTGCACTATTTAGGGTGACATAGAATTAATTTTGCTGTATTCATTTGGTTTTAAAAATTACACGTATGTAATTTTTTAAAACATCTCTCACGCCTTTAATATGCACAGTACCAGCGATTTGTAAACACTATTGCATTTGTAACTGACAGTGCTTGAAATCACTTCTTTTGAAATTTTTCGATAACTCAATGTTGTTCTGTGAAAAGAGATTCAAATTTCGAATTTACAGCAGCGCCAAACGCCATTTTCTTAAAAACTGCTCCAACTTTTTCAAAGAAGATTGCCATTTCGTGCATGATTTTACTGTTCTTTAATATTCTTAAAATAATATTTTTGTTCTACTATTAGGAAACCGAAAAATTAAGAAAGTTTAAAAAAAGTTTTGGGCGGCAATAATGGCAGCTGGCAAGCGTATGTGACTTATCCCAATCGCTTGCAGAGACCGAACGAAACAAAACTAATACCGGAAAGTCCGTGCCATTCTGTTGCTCCACCCATGTGTAAAGAAAAGGTGCATGTTGTAATTTCGTTGCCCTACATCTTTTTCGTTAATGTTATCCTCGTATGTAGCAAGATTAAGAAATTGGCACTGGTGACAGTTTCGAAAGTTGTAAAAATTATCTACGAAAAAGTACAATATTGATGTTGGAGAACTTTTGTTAAATGAAATCTCTTCCAAAAACGTATTTAACGAAGTCATGTACAATTAAAAATACATATAGTTTAACGTAATTTTGCAAATTCGAATTCCAGAATTTGTTGGTACAATTTTTCAGAACTTATCACCTTGCAATTCAATGGGGACGCTGCAACACGGCAGCTTGAAATTCTCAGAATAACTTTTCATGGTTGGGCGGTGTTTCTGAGTGTATGGAATGGAGGTTTGGATTGTTGAATTTGAGTTGATATATTATCTTCAAAAAAGTATTAATGAGGTTTACAAGTTTTACTGTAAATATGTTTCAAATTTAAGGGGCTGCAACATCAGCCAGATCGATTGCAGAATATCAATTATGAAGGGTTTTGCCGCTAGTGTTGTTCACAGACGGACAGAGAGGACAGACAGGCGTTTTGCCGTCATTTGATTTTTCGGCATCAAGGACCTACAAAACATGGATTTTGACTACATCACGTGTTAGAGGATTTTCCCACTTAACTTTAGTAACTTGATTTACCAACTTTTTCGTTACCAGGGTTACCTTCGTTACCCTATAATAAGAGTTTTTCTGTTGAAAATTCGCCGTTTTTTCGGGCAGCATTACATAATTTCCCCTCTACTCCGTAGCGAGCGTGTTAAATGGAGCCCTTCATTATACTAATATGAGGAATAAGTATTCTCTACCCTTTGAATAATCTAAGCACTTAAATTCTAATATTTATGTGCTCTAATATATATGGCTCGATAGTGTTGGTAAATTCCTATTCTTTCAGCGAAATTAATATTTAATTTTTACTCTATACGTCTTTGCGATTTATTTTTATCTCTGACGCTGAAGAACCGTCAAATTGTGTGATGCCATGATATTAATCAGAATTCACATTAATTTGTAGATTTGGCAACCAATCCGAGGTTGGTAAAGAAGAGCTGTTATACGAAGACAAAGAAGCGGAGGATCAATGAACCCCTCTCCGTCAAATGTGGATGTTCTACCAGCAACAGCGCCGCCTGAACCAATGGCACCCGCATCAGTGCCTTCTGGATTAGAATATCTTTATAATGTAAACCACCTATCTGTTGAGCAATCTCTGAGCTGTTGCGGGGGTAAGTCAAAATACGCTGGATCCTTTCTGGAAAAATATCCTACAGCACGTCGGCGTTGTTTCTACGCTGTCCTTCTAGAAAAGCAGTCACCACACGTTTTTGGTCACATAACCCAAGGAAGGGACTTATTAAGTGGCTTCTTGTGATTTGAACTACCTTTTTTTAAATTTTAGAACGTTCAGAGAATTTAGAAGAAAATGAAACCAGCGCTGTTATTTTAAGCATCCTTTACGCTATTCGAGGACAAAATTTAATGAAACAATTTGGATCTATATTCACAGAATTTGAAAATGTTGAAGCTTCATATATATTATCCCCAAAAGTGAAAACATCCTTTTTCAATTCGGAGGGGCTCGTCTTTGTTCAGATCGATCGAGTATTTCAGTTTTGAAGAAAATGCAAATTGATTTTTCAGAATCAAGGGCCAATAAAACATGGTTTCTGACTATACAACGTGTTAAAAGAAGTAATTTAATGTACAGGAAAAATAATTATCCACTTCTTCGTTACCAAGACCCGACAATAAGAGTTTTTCTGTTGAAAAATCGCCGATTACTGCCGCACCATTATACTTTTTTGTATTACGCAGTAAGGCGAAAATAACTAAAAATCTGTTTTTGAACTTCGTCCGCTACGATTTGTAATGACTTCAACAATGGGCGAAATGAGTTGTTGGGACAGAAATTGCGGTGTAATATTTCGTTACTGTTACAATGCAAGAGATTACGAGGTGTTGTAGTACCAAGTGTTTAATTTTAAATTACTAAAATTAAACTTGTTATGCCGATCCAAGTTGGAAAAGGAGAGGGAGGATTCTTTGTTACTTTGTCGCCCACTGCTTGCGCAGAATGGAGGAAGTATTAAAAAGCGAAAAACGGCGATTTTTTGACAAAAACACTATTATTGCCGGGCCCTGGTAACAAAAAAGTGGGTGAATCTTGCCCCTATATACAGTAAATTACTTTATAACACGTTGTGTAGTCAAAATCCACGTTTGATGGGTTCTTGATACCGAAAAGTCGATTGACGACAAAACATCTGTCCGTCCGTTCGTCTCGTCTGTGCGCTAGCGGCTAAACCGTAAGCAGGATTTTTACCAAAAACTGATATTCCCCGATCGAAATAATTGCCATCGCGGGCCCTTGAATTTGCAACGGCTGTTTGATTACCTACATGAAGCTTCAACATTTAAATTTTTTCTGCAAAAGACATGTAAAGAAATGGCCTAAGCCGCATCTTCTTTGCACTCTGAATTTTTGAATATTGCAAAAGTTAAAATATTGTACGGCTTCTTCTTACAATTACAATTTTGAAATTAGATTTTTTTAATGGAATCTGTTCATCAAAACCAGGTCTGGAAAGGTTACGTTCAATTTTTCGAAAAATATTACTGGGTTTTGTGTAACTTTGCGTGAATCAAGCAATTTTTAAATTTCAAACAATTATTTTCGCAAAAGCGGCTCCACATTATTTGCAGGTATTTAGAAAGGTATAGAAGATGATATTGATCCCATTTTCGGCAAACTCTCTGTGTTTTCGAAAATTGCAAAATAAAAACGAAGTTGCAAATTCGAATTTCATGCGCATTGTTTGAAGCGCTGACAGCGATACTATTTACAAGGCTTAGTATTGTACTCATTGTTGGAGGTCGTGATAGTCGTATAATGCAGAGAATATACTTATAAAAGGAAACAGATTTAAGGAAAGTAATCGATATAACTTTGAACTTACAAACCCACACACACACACATTAACTTACACCGGAAGTTAGAGCAAACAAACGCTTTTACTTTGAAAGGGTTTGACCGCTTATTATAATATTAAACAATTAGAAGCTCACTTCGATGCAATCAAGTCAAGATTGTATGAAATTATTTTTGCTTTCCTGCATAATGTGCCATAAATGCTGTTATAATTTAAATATATTCATGTTTGTTTCAGTAGTAAAAGAAAATAAATTACTAGTATTCATGACTATTGAAATAAATGGAGATATGCCTCACTTTGTTTGAACTAGTTGAATTGATTGAATTAAACTTTTTCAAGTCATAGTTGTGGTGTCAGGGCAGAAATTTCAATATTTCGTAACAGTTTCGAATGCGAGAATATATGTGCTGTTGTAGTTCCTCTTGCTTAACCTACTTAATCCAGGAATGTTATTCAATATAGTGTTTTGTTGTAGTGTTCACAACGTATGAAACCAGAAAAGAATATGCTATTAAAAATGTAAAAGGGCAAATCCTGTACGTCGCCAAGGAAACGACTGACTGCTTGACACGCCAATGCTGGAGAAATGCACGCCCTGCGCGTTTCAAGGTTGTCGATCACACGAAGAAAGAAGTGGTGCACATGCGTCGGCCTCTTTCTTGCAGCTCGTGCTGGATCCCCTGTTGCCTGCAGGTACGAAGTTTGCTCAATTGGTGATCAGAAGCTATATAGCAATTGGACGTCATTCATTAAATGAACTTACCTCCATTTATGAATAAAACATGTTTATAGTAGTGATGCAATGACCATATATTCTAGTCGTAAGATAATTTTTCCGTGTTCTTGGAGGTTACCAGATACGTAAATAAAATGGCGACGTGATACGAATGTAAATGTCGATAAAAAATTCTTCAATAATACCTAGTAGTGCTGAAGAATGGCACAAACTTTCTCGTATTACTTTCCTTCAGTCTTGGCTATTTTTTCAGTTTTCCCCAAAGTCTTCCCAACTGCTATCTATTGGCACCTAAACGGCAACTTTTCACGTTTTCACGTTTTTGGGGGGGATCCCTAACAGTAGAATTGAAATATTACTTTCAGAATATTAAAGAAGAGTAAAATCTAGTTCTACATGCAAATTTTCGTCGAAAAAAATGGGAGCATATTTTAAGAATGTATGTTTTGGACATTTCTGAAAATGAATAATTTTCAACTCATATTCATAGAAAACTTTTGAGTTTTCTAGAAACTTCATTGGATATCATTTGAAGCACTTTTACTCACAAATGCAATGAAGTATAAATGCGCCCGAAATGTAAATATTAGCGACGTAAGAAAAATAATAAAATATACATTTGTGTAATTTTGAACTAGTAACGCTACAGAATGATGCAGACCTCGTATTAGTTTTTTTTCTGTTTTTTGTTGTCTTTGTTGTGGTCTGGGTTACGTTACTTGGTCTTGTCCCATTCTCTTCCCAGATGCCATTTGTCTCCACCCACAATACATTTTTCAAGTTTTGGTAGTCCACTATTGATAGATCTGAATTATGACCACGAATATTATAGAAGAGTATAACGTCGTCCTATATGGAAAGTTTCGTTGAAACATTTTGAGCCATTTTTGAGAAAATGTCGTTGAAGACTCTGTAATTGGTAAATTTGAAGCTCTTTTTCACAGATAACTTTTGAATTTTAGAGAATCTTTATTTGGAATAATTTGAATCATAAGATAAGCAGAAAATAACTTTATTATAAATAATTCCCTTTATTTCACACAAACTTACGGAAAATCTATTCATATTTTTGAAACATTGTTTGTGACCTGTCTGTGGTTCATGAAGATCTGTCTTGGAAAAAATACCTATTTTCAAAATGGTAGTTGTAAGAAGACGCCAAAAAACATTTTGAAATTTTACAGAAATAAGGAATTTCAACAAAAATGAGACACCCGCCATTCTTTTAACCGTCCTTTACGCTACCCGTCCTTTACGTTACTAAAAAACGTGAAGTCATTTTTAAGAAAATTTTGAAAATGTTGTTAAGACTTCATGTAGAGTACCCCCAGGATGTGAGGAATCTTGTGTTCGCGAGAAGTACTGTGTTGGCATGGAAATGCGTTGTAGTCTCAGAAATGTTTTAACTGCATCGCGAAGTTCGAAAGCTGAACTTCGTCGTCCCAACTCCAAAATGAGTACCGATGGGGCAACTACGTATATAGTTAGGTTGCGAGGTATATGTAATTAGAAATTTACGACTCACATAGTGGGACTCAAAACTATGCATGTCTCTCACTAACCTGAAAAACTTTACCGTACCTAACCGCTGGGTGTTTATCATGTTTTATCTACTATTCCTCTTCATCGTAATCTACATACTTCCCCTTTTCTAGCTACCTTGTGTTGATCAATGAGTCTTTCATCCAGATAAAGTGCTAAATATGCTTCGAAGTTGTTCCCATATCGATCTTGTTCCACTCATTTTGGATAATGTGAACATTAATCGGACCTTAGCCGCAACAGAAGTGCAATTTTTCAGAAGAAATACTGAATATTTATTAGTTCGCCTTTTCTTGCTAATGTGGTGTTTCTTTTCCAGTCAATCGAAGTTTCGATGCCGAAGGGGGAGACACTGGGCTCTGTGAGGCAACTGTGGAGTCCCATACGACCTTTGTTTCATGTGATAAACGAATATGGGGAGACAGTATTGAAGATTTCTGGTCCATGTTATATTCAGTGTTGTTCTTTCTGCAATTGTGAAGTTCATTACAAGGTGACTGAACGAAATCATTTTTTACCTGGCATTTTGATGTAATTTTTGAGGTTGTATTGGAAAATAATATAAGTGCTTCAGGTCAATCTTATTCTTTTCTTGAATCGATTTTTCATTGAGTTATTTTACTTCCATATACATTAGCTGAACTTATTACGCAAGTATTTAATAGAGGCCAATTTTACAGTCTCCGTTTTTTAAATTATGAAACTACTTTGAACGGAAAATTAAATATTTTATTAAAACTAATCATTTTGCCTGAATAATATTGAAGATTTAATATTCATCTTTTTAGTAATTATTCCGCATTGCATTATAAATTATTTCATTCATCAATAATTATTTACCATAAAAGTGTACTAAAAGTGTAAACTGACAACAGAACTTAATCTGATTTTGATTTGCATGATGTATAAGCAGTACGAAGAAAGGTTCACGTTCTTGATGGAAAATGCAAACTCATTCCTGTTTAATACAGTTATGAGGACTGGTAAATAATAATTTATTTTACAGATACTGGCAGTCGATGGCTCAAAAATTGGCCGCATCACAAAATTATGGTCAGGGGTTTTTCGTGAGCTTTTTAGTGATTCCAACAACTACGACATAAAATTCCCTCCGGATCTCGATGTCAAGATCAAGGCTGTTTTGTTAGCCGCCTGTTTTCTAATTGTAAGTGTGAGTTGTTACCGTTGCGGCGATGAAGATTGTAGTTCTATATTTAAGATGTTTCAATGTTAAAGTGGTGTTGAGATTCCGATTTCAATCGATGATTCTCGGCGGAGTACGTATTCCAAAACAAAATTCTTTGACAGTGTCTTCTGGAAGGGAATATTACTGACGATGTTTTATTAGAGTAAGACGGCCCTTTATATCTTTGGGTTTCGAACTAGATAGAGTGTATATTTTTCGTAGATATGTCTAAGGATTTTAAACCAAAATTGATAAAAGAAGCAGGCTTGTTAGCTATTGTAAATGTTTAATTTGGTTTAATAAGGGATATTAGGGATTCAGATCAGAGGATTAATTTGAACCAGAATTCATTTTTGACTGCAAGAATGTATAACAAAAACGTCTTGAAATTTAAATAATTGGCACGGTTGTCTTTCTTAACCAATAAAAAACTATTTTCTTTGAATGATCTAGTTAAAATATTTGTTCATTATATTATTTTTAAGACCTTATATGGATAGTACCATCTCATAAAGAAGTTGAAGTATTTTAACTACATTAGACCTGCCATTGTTTTCATTCATAGATGGGTATGTGGTTTTGATCGACTGGTTTTATTGTTGTGGACGAACTGTAAATGATAAAAATAAAACCATATGGAGGTAGTGGGCATTTCTATCAGTTCTTAATACATATAATTTATGGGACTTTTTCCTCTTATGTTTTCAGGACCTACAGCTTGTGAAATGAATTAAAAAATGCCAATATTCTTAAACAAGACGTACTGATAATTGTATATTTTCATCAAAATATAAAGCAGAATGTTTTGACCTGTAATTCACATTAATTTTGCAAATCTTGACATTATTTGATTTTCAATGCCTCAAAAATTATGTATTGTAGTAAATAAATATTTTAATAATGTACTTCTGAAAATACGAATTAGTCGGTGTATTTAAAATGTTTCCAAATTCCTTCTCAAGATGTCTTCAAGAGCAAAATTCTTTATACATTTTAAAAAATGTTAAAAAATAGTTATTAATTTGTTCACGAGAATACATACATACATACATACAATTAAAAGGTTTTAAGATCAATTAAATAAGAGTGAATCTCGCTAAGTGATGGAACTAATTAGGCCCATTTTATAGTTATAATCAACGCATATTTGTTCCAGGATTTGATGTATTTCTCAGGGAGAACACGAATCCCCTTGAAGCTGCAGACCCAATTGAACGCAATTTGTTTAATATGATGATGTAATTGCGTACTGTTTCATAAAATTACTGTCAATAATGCTTCCCTGAACAATACTTTAGTATTGTATTTTATATTAAATATGTGGGTTTAATTAAATATATAAAAATGTAAAATGTGAATATTTGCTGTTTAATGTTGAGTATTCACGAAATAAATATGATAAATGGATGCTGATAATTTTTTTTTTCTCTCAAATCGTTGATGAATTTTGAATAAAATTCAATCGACAGTTTGACTTCATGGAAATAAATGTGTATTCTTAATCACTTTTAGTATATCCACTGAAACACTTTTGGACTTTTTTTGGATGTAGGTAAAAGCGTTTAGTGAATTGATTTACTTTCATTGCCATTGTAAGATGTTAAATGTTGTTTAAACTTATTTGTATTCATGCTATTTTCTGCACGATATCAACTCTTTTATTGTAACTTTAATTAAATTATATTTCAACTTTTTATTATTGATTGGGATGAACGTAAATCTATTCTAACTAATTTTATTTATTTGCTACCTCAGTATAAACAAGAACAGGAAATAATTATTTGTGTCCGACTGAAGTTTATGTTTTACTGTTCATGTTATAGTTCATTCATATATGTCATTCGTGTTCGTAGGTCGACGAATTGTCCGTAGGGACTTACGTTATTCTGAAAAACCATTCTCCTATTGGAATTTGTGTTGTAGAACTGGAATATTAAGAAGTCAGCCATTCAATGATAAATTTAAAAGAAGTATTAAAATATTCTTATCGTGATAAGTCTTTAATTTTCTTTCAAATCATAAAATTGTTCTTTTGTTTCCGTGATTTTTCCTATAAAATATCGCAATACATCATTTAGCATTTTGATAATATTCTCCGAATCTTTCAATTAATAATTTTCAATTGCGTTACTAGTATAACTTGTATTTTATTTTAAACTTTATTTTTTTTGAAGAGCTCTTTGAGTTATTTTGCCTGTATGAACTAAAATAAAACTTTCCTCCGTATATAGAACCTCTATATATCGAAATTCTCAATAAATCGTATTATTTTTCTGTTCCATGAAAATTACGTTTAAAAACGTATCTATATATCGAAAATAATTTCTATTTATCGAACTCCTTTTCTGAATTGACTATTTTTTCTGTGAAATAAAATTTACAGTACATAAATAAAAATACAGTACATAAAATACAGTACATAAAAATACAGTACATAAAATTTACAGTATAAATTATCAACAATTTGTCAGGGTTTTTGATTGAGACAAAATGTTCCAGATGAAGTGTTTCACTAGGTTAACAAGTGTGGACAAGAATTTTAAACGGAGTGGATGATACGTGCAACAAGACGTTAGATTTTTTGAAATTTCAATTCATTATTAAGTCAAGTACGTATTCAATACCATTTTCATGTTACTATTCATAAATATGTGGAAAAAGTTATTAAAACATTTGTTAATTCATTATTTGTTTAATTTTCCATTTTAACCAATTTTTCCAAAATTGTTTAAATACATTTGAAAAAAAATCATAATTGCTTCTATACATCGACGTTTTTATATATCGAATATTATCGATGAAACCGTCAGATTCAATGTATGAAGGTACGCCTGAATGCCTTTACGCCTTTATAAATGTTTGCGATGTTTCGAATTGCTTTTGGACAAAATTTGTCTCGATCACGAATCTTACAAACAATGTTTCGTTGTTCGTGCCTCTCTGAGAAATCTGTTCTTGAAGTCAATCCTAATTTAATTCTACGTAGCCACCCTACTCACATGTAACTTTTTAAATTACGTCCCCTAACATTTAAATGGCATGATTATAACCCTATTAACACTTAAATTTCTAAACTTTACTGCATTAATTGAAATAAGCTATAACTACTCGAAAACCTATTTATTAATAACGCGGTAATGTAACGGGTGGTCATTTCGCGCTTCCTAGACACCATACTTCCAAATTACAAAACACGATATTAAATTTCAAACAAGTGCATCCCAAGTCATCCCAGAAGTCATAAAATTAAACTCTTACTTCTTCGTACATTAGAAAATTACCGTTTTTAACCATGTAGTCTAATTTTCTTTCAAAAAATCTCAAATCGTTTTGACATCCGAATGAATCTAATAACGTTCCGTCTCTTCCGAAATCTCCAACCGCTCAGTTCTGAAAGACGCCAAAATCTAACATGAAACCTTTCCATTTCTTCCGCTCTGAATCTTTTGTACCTAATTTTCTAATTGAACATTTTAGCCTGCTGAGAGTCACATTTTCTTGTTCCATACAATGTTGCAAAACGTGTCACGTGGTTGTCGTATTCTTACATTACATTTGAAGAAATATTAAAATTTTATTATCTGTAATTCTGTTTGTCCTTTACAATGACTGTATTCATTAATCCTAATTCGCCACGTTCGAATTATTAGCCCATTTCAGCCTCGACCACAGGAAATCGTTTTTGTCTTGTATTCGGAATGTTTCTCCAAAATTGAGGTTAGGCGATTTATTTGGGATGTTTATTCCCTTTTACGTATAAATTTGAGAGGGGCGATTTCTTTATTGGCGTTTTGGGGGGTTTGTTCGGGATGTCTCATATTATTATAATTCTAACAAAATATCTATTATGTTTCATGCGAAAAGTAGCCGAAACTAAATAAAGTGGTTCAATATCTGCTATAAAATCCTTAAGATTGGCAGAAAGCCGAAACATTGTTTAAAATAAAATTTTATGTACAAAGAACCACATCTGACTCATGGAAAAGAGAATCTTTACCAAACTATATTATTGTAAACACCAAACTATATTTTCTACCCTTTTAAAATTATCGTGGTGTTGCCAGAGGTTTCCATATGAATGATCTGTTAACTATTTAGATTGATGACTTAAGTACTGGTCGCGCAAGTTTTCTTGATATTTCGCAGCGGGGGGTGCGGGGAGAGGAAGTCTCTGCTTACGTCACAGCATAAAAGAGCGTACCAACTGTTAAAATGAACATAGTGCGCCAAAGCGTAGGATGAACTTACGTAAATTATAGCAATTACTCCGAGTCATCGGAATAGCTGTCGCGTTCACTTTCACTGGCCGTGTCCCCAGCAACATTAACAATAATATCGTCGATAGCTACTTCCAAAATCCCATTTTTTGCCAATATTCGATTTCACACTTCTGTATGTGTTCGGAAAAGCCTTTCCAGGCTGCAGATGTGACAGTGGAAAATGCGTAGTGTGTAAGTTCACGGAGGTGTTGACTGACAAGTCTCCAGTGACATTATGTTCCCTAAACACTCTTTTAATTTTAGCCCATGCTAACTCAATGGGATTGAGGTCACAATTGTAAGGCGGAAGACGAATAACACTATGACCCCTTTCAGAAGCCATTTTGTCTATTACATAAAACTTTTCGCTCGGTTTATTGGCCAGTATGAGGTCGAACAAATAACTTTTACGCTGATTGTGATCACAATTAATTCCCCTCTTCCTTAACCACTCTATCATTGTCAGTTTGGTGTCGTATCTTGACGGGACTCTTTCGGCTTGTCTAGAATGGTAAGGGGCATTATCCATAACTATGACGGATGCGGGTGGTATATTTGGGAGTAATTGCATATTGAACCATTTTTCAAAATTGATGGAGTTCATTTGTCCATGGTAATCCCCTTGTGACGTGTTCGCTTCCATTATTAGGTTAGCACCTTCAATAAATCCATTTCGAGAACCTGCACTAACAATAATGAGTCGTTTTGCAGAACTGCCCCACGAAGTCACTCCTAAAATATCATTCTCCTTTTGCCAGCACTTTCCTGTGGTCATATTATTGTCTATCCAAGATTCATCTAAATAAAATATCTCCCTTCCTTCCTCTCTAAAATGCTTCATTCTCACCAGGTATCGAGATCTCCAATCTACAATATCACCTCGTTCTAACAGTAATTTTCGTTTGTTCTGAACTTTCTTCCAAACGAATCCCATAGATTTCAAAATGGTTCGAAGTGATGAAGGGCTCCAATTCCAATTGATTTTTTGTTTCAGCACTGGTAGTAGTTTTGTTATTGTAGGAACGACCTTCTGGACAGTGTAAAAATCATGAATAGTGTCCCTGATTACTCCCTTATCGAAATCGTCCAACAGGATTTTCCCGCGTGTTCTTGTTCTGGCAACAAATAAATAAAGGTTCATGCACTTACCATTCGCGACAAAATAAAACATAATAAATATTTCCAAATAGGAAGTGTCACGTACTTCATTTAATAAAAGCGACAGTAGTACCTCTTTTTGCCTGGAGTTTCAGGTGACTGATCTGGGTGCAAAACCTTAATTTTTTTTATTCTATTCACTGATGCAATGCTTGCACCCGTGTAAATGGTCGCCCTCTTTAAGGCTTGGTTAAGAGGGGCAAGGAGCGACTTGTTCTCTTTCTCTCTTTGACAACAGTCTACCACGTTAGCAATAATTTTTCTCTCCGCACAATGAAGAGTGTGGATACGGCGAGATGGTGGCGTTCTCGGAGTTTCCCGTGAGGGCCCTGGGACTGCGTCTGCCATTGTTGATCTTCACGTAAAGTTGTGAAGATAACAGTGATCAAATGTCCAAATAAAGATTTCTACCAGATAAATAAGCCAAAGTCGTATAAAAGGAAGAAGCAATAAACTAGTCAATCAAATAACAGTAAACCATAATCGTTAAACCAAACCAAAAGCCAAAAACGTCGTAAAGTATGGGAACAATATATTAACAAACCACCAATTAACACACTTGCACGAAAATAACTTCGACTGTTTTGAATGTAGGAGGTGGGAGATGGTAACACTGTAAATTGATACGTGCCGTTCCGAGTTGGACCTAAGAATTTCAACGGGCCGTGCTATTCAGCGCTGGGCATGAGTTAGGGAATCCGTGTATCAAGAAAACTTGCGCGACCAATACTTAATCCTGCAACTGGACGCGTATATTTTGTTACATAAAGTGCACACCGGAGGTCTCACGGAACCCAAAGATTTTTATTGTTCAGCAGGATTCAGAAAT